GAGGCAGGTATATTATTGTCCTCGATGAATGGTGGCGTCGAGTCGTGCTGAGAGAAATATATTTCATGCTCTTGTACATGCTTTTTCCTGGATTTTGACGCTCAAAGTCGGGTATATCCACCTAACAAAGCGTTTGCTTTAACCTGACAATTGGCGCTTTTCTGATCACACACATATATACGTAAAGCCTGAAAAATAACGGTATAGTCCGTTGGGGTTGCTGTCGCTCGTGTGTCAACACAGACGCGGAGATTCGATTTCCACTCTCTCTCGTGGAGAAGGTAAATTAATGTAGACACACGCGCTCGCGAGCACGTCAAGAGGGCAACGAGTCGACCGATCCATACCTGAAAATTTTTTCATCCTTATATAAGCTCATGTATGTCCACAGCGAATTTCAACTTTACGATTCGTTGCCCGATTGATTTAGACGCACTCGCGAGTCATCTATTTCTCAATGGAGTTAAATTTTTCCACGTCGCATCGTATCTATAGAAAAAAAACCGTAAATGAGCAAACGCGTAAACTGAATTCATTCTAAACGAAGCCAAATAGTTTCCGTCTATGGGAAAATCGCTAGGCACATCTATGCAAGACGGGCACTCGTACTCGATCGCGTACAAGTACGCGCAACTTTTATATAAATTGATTACGGTATCTATCGACGAGCTAAAAAAATAACGAAAGAAAAAAAAATAAAGGTAATAATTAATGAGCTGTGCGCAGCTATCGACGAATTCGCCAACATTACCCGTTACGAAAGCCGCGCGCGCGCGCGACTATTCCTCTGGCTCGCGTTGCACTCACGCACACACGCACATTTTGTCCTCGCAATAAGTATACGTATGCATACGAACGTTCGAATACGCACGCAATACAGCCTCGCTGGCTGGCTCGCGATCGACCCGTTATTTCATAGTCACCGTATATATACATTAGCAGCTATACTTTCGGAACGAGTGCGGCATTTCGAGTGCAATTCCGGAGTATAACGCGCCGCGGAGTCGGAAAAGTTTTATATCGAACACACACGTATATATACGTGCAATTACTCAATTGGTCGAGCGACAAGCTTTTATATGTACAGTACAGCACGCGCGGTCTAACGAGCGAGTCGGGAGGCACATATTATAGCTCGCGTAATATACGACAAGTGCTGTACTGCACCTGCGAGAGCTTATAATATATGATGTGTGTATGTGTGTATCCTTTTGGCTCCGGCTGCGTATGTGCGGCAACGAATATTGTTGTGCGTATATGTACACGCGTTTCCTTCCTGATATTGCCTGAACTTGGCCCGCAGACTGCACACACGTATATGTACACAATCTTCTCTAGCTCTCTCTCTCTCTCTACCTCTCGAGATCCTGTGTTCTCTCGAGCGTGCTAATTCCCAATCGCTGTATATACGTGTGTATGTGTGCGTGTGCACTGGGGGTGCCGTCTAATGAAGCTGTTGCTCTTCTCTATAGAGACATCCGCGTGCACGACTTCTCGAGTCCGGGGGAGCGTGATTGCGAGGCGGCCTCGTATATAGCTGAATTTCAAGAAAATTTTCAGTTCGCCAAATTCGCTGATCGTGATAAACTGCAAATAAGACGACTCGCGTCGCTCGCTCGTGCCCCGTTCGGTCTTGATATTTGAATCGTTTTATGTTTGCTCGTAGTCTGTGAAATAATTGCATTTCACTTTAAAAATTGACGGGAAATGGTTAACTCGACCCGAGTAGAAGTGTTGAACAGTTTTTGGTTAGTTTTTGAACAATAAAAGAACTTTTTTGCGCATAAAAGAGCCGTTACGACTGGACATATACTAACCAACAATTTAAGGGTTCTTTCCTTGAATAACGAAGACCTTTACGTAATCAAACATTTTTTTCGTGCTTTGACTTATACGAATATTTTTACTTTTCCTCTTTCAGATTGACAGATAAAGGTAGTCGCCATCTAGTGGTAGACAATTCGACTTTATTGACTTAAATATCAATACTACCATTTCATTCAATCGAAACCACTCTTCAAGTTATACGATTGTTTTGACTTTTTCACTAGCAGATTTACAGATAAATGTGTACTCGCCATCTAGTGGTGGTAGCTTGAAGTGGTATTATCGTAATTAGAGTGGTTTAAAACTGATCTGAAATTTGGGAAAAAGTAAATTTTCATTTTCAGATTATTTAAAATGGCTATTTCACACCTATTGAAGTGATGAGCCACTGACTTAGAAGCGCGTTATATTATCCACGATTCTTGCGTTTCTCGTGCCGTTTTATATTTCATACACTCAACTCATATATTTACTTTCAAAGTCGCATTGACCGCCGCCTCAGTCCCTGATCCTCTCGCCCACGCGTGTATTTTTCGCATTTTCCACGCGCGAGAGCTTCATCTCGTTCGTTTATGGCGCAGAGAGAAGCAGCTTCCGTGCGTGGCATTATATACGGAGTAGTAGTACGCGCGTATACAGCACGCGCAGGAAATTAAAAAGTAAAATTACTGTGCATCAGTGTGTATGCGCCTCGCGCGCGTATCATCTTAATGCGATCCCCTGCGCTTATATACTTCTTCTTTCTTTTATTTTTTTAATTTTTTTTTCACCTAGCACGCGCGCTTTTCTCAATTTTTTTCTTATCCTCTTTATAATAAGCAACGCAGCAGCAGCGGTGGCGCGAGTCGAACGAATGATGAAAAAAAAAAGAAAGAAAGAAACAAAGTATAAGCGCATAACGATGAAATGATACAGCCGAAGAAAATTAGCCGTGCTGCCGGAAGCTTATATACGTATCGTATAAATGGAGAGGAAAGCGCGCGAGATACTTTGGTTTATCTAATGATGATCAAGTCTGCTTGGAGAGAAAGAGAGAATAAGAGAGGAAGAGAGAGAAAGGAAGGATATCGCGCGATATCATTTGGCCATTTTATTCCTGCGTTCTGGATCGGCTCTCGGAAGATGGGCGATTGGCTTAAGCTTTTGCCAGGTATATAACGCGAGTGGGTTGGTTTTAAATTATCCTGACTCGGCGTAAAAAAAGTATTATTTTTTCTGCCACATCGAGCGCGCGAAAAAGTTAAGTTAAGCTCGTGTTTTGGACAACCACGCGCGGCGTGTTCGAAATAATTTTTTTTCTCTCTCTTTCTCTCTCTTATACTTCTTAACAAATATCATCATCATCATCATCTGGAACGGAAGTCGTGTGCAACTTCAAGCGCGCGCAACAATTGCGCCGTAATGTGTAGCGCCGGCCCGCGCGCCCGCATTAAGGACTCGACGCTCTTTTTTACGTAATGCCATACACAAGAGCGCATTTGTTCTCGCGTACACATGTATTCGCTCGCGAAAAAATTTATATACCCGAGGCTATTTTAAGTTCGGTTCTCTCTTTTTTTTTTGCTTCTAGGTATATAAAGAAACCAATAATAGTCGAAAAGTCCCATTCAAATATCGTATTTATTCGGTAAAAGACGATTGTGTCCATTAAGGATATTTCGTATACGAAATGCTTTTTTTTCTCTATATTATATTATATTCGCTTTCACACCAAAGTGAGAGACGCGCCGAGACCCCATATTAGCTTTACCACTCGATCGTCGCCGGTCATCGACGTCGACTTTTATACGACGCGCCGTCGCCTTAAAAACTGCACGCCTTAAAAGATCGATGTATCTTGTGGCGCGACGAGAGAAAAGTTTTTCCTTCGCGAGAAAGCAGCAGCAGCAGAGTCTCGATGTTGCACAGACTTGGAAAATTTGTCCGTACACTCCGTAAATATAAATAAAAGATGATTAAAAGTGAGCGATGGCTATGTCCGATAATGGAAAGGAGCAAAAAAAAAGAATCTCTTACCCAACTTTTCCCTCCGAGCTACGTACTATATAAGCTATTCGAATTTTCCCGACTCTATACAGCCACTGGCCGTGTATTAGCTTCTTCTTCTCTCTCATTCTGTCGTTTACTCGGACATAAAGGATTTATAAAGGTCCATTGAAGAAGTATCCTCGAAGTGGAAAAAAGTTTGTCCCGAAGTATAAAACCAGGTCGTCCAGTTTTTGAACGCGCTCGCGCGCGCGACGTCTCGGGCAAAAGCTCTCTCTCCGTGCGTGGTATATATCGGTGTATTATCGTTATTTATTGGGGGTAAAATTAGACGCGCGAGCGTATAAAGGACCGCCGAGAGAAACGTCCACGATAAAAATGCACTTGGCGCGCGCTGCAACTCCGCGCGACGCCTGTAATCGTTACAGTTAATGTACAAAGCGAAGCTCGTTAGAGTCGAGCATTTAATTAAAGTCCCATTCGGTCGGAAACTTAGCCCACACGGACGGAGCTTACGCGAGCGATGTAATCCCCCGCAGTTGCTGCTGCTGCTGCTGCTGCTGTCAACCCACGCAGACACATACGTATAATACACCTGTGCGCATTAACGTCGCTCTAGCTGCCATATACACATACGAGCGAGCGAGCGAAACATCAAAATTTCGTACTAATCTAGGCGTCGCATGGTATGTTATTATTATATATATTCAACGGATTTAATGACACGTAAAACACGCCTCTGCGCTCCGTTGCTGCAGCATTGGCTCCGGGTGTGCGGCATGCGGAGCAGCGTTTAATCGACGGCTAAGCGATGTGCGCGCATCATTGATCTCTTACGGATTAAAAATGAGCCGTCCTGTACAGCGGTGTACTACTACCGTGAGTAGTATCTCTCTCTCTCTCTGGCTCGGCATTCGCCGACACATTTCGCAGCAACCGCAAAACCACCCCCGACATTCGTGCTACATATATACATCTGTATAACTATATATTACGTATTGCTATATAGCACGAGAGAGAGAGCGAAAGAAGAAACAGAGGGAGAGGATGGCACTCGGCAGCAGCAGCAGCAGCAACGGCCACGAGAGAGCGCGCGCGCATAGGCAGGCAAGCGTATAGAGTAGAGAGAAGCGGAGTCCGACGAAGCTCCCGCTCGCCTCGTTTTCGCAGTTCGGTTTTCTGCTTGCTGGCTCACGGCTGTGTTGTATACTGTATATATACTGCGTGTGTGTGTTGCACCGCCAACCAACGCCGCGACGCCGTTTCTCGTGTTTTATAAAACGTATACATATACATACGTGTACGAGCCTCGCTTGCATTTATACGCGCGACATTTATACTCGTGACATTTAGTCGCGCGCAAAAGTACATGCTCTAGTGTGCAATTATTTCGTTTTTCTCCTTTTTTTCTTTTGGGTTTCTCTCAAAAGAGTGTGATACGAATTACACAACGTCTCTGTAGGTCTGCAGTGATTTTGTGCCAGCGCGGGCTTTCTTTGTTGTGACAGTGTGTTTTTTTGCGCGCCGAGAGCATATTTTAGCAGTGGTTTTTCTAGTTTAGGGGGAAATAACAAAAAAGCGACAACGAACCACCACCGACACACAAAAAAAAGGGCCAGCGAAGCAAGACACACAGATGTTAATTCATGCTCCGGTTGAGAGACAAGAGTCCGCTGTTATATGCACCTCATCATCGTGAGTGAATGTATTAAGTAATACCCGACACAACAGCAACAACAACAACAACACTATACCAAGCCCGCATGAAACACGAGGCACATATACCAACCAGATACATCATAATACGAAAGAGAGCAACAAAAAAGATCGCATATGCAGTGTGTGCATAATACAACGGAGCTCTCAGCCCTATACTCCATATACCCGTCAAAAGCCCGCGCGCTGATGTGCTGCTGCCGCTGCCTCGTTGATGAGATTTGAATATCGCAACGCAAGCTCTTTTTTGCTGCTGCTGCTGAGCTCGCTGTGCGATAATATAATACAACACATAGCGGTGGTGTTTTCGCACCGAGCGCGAGCTAAAATATTATATATTATACATTGTACGTATCGCGAGTATGGAAAAGCCTGTTCATTTCGCATATACTACTGCACACGTTTTCCCCGTGTAAAAGCATCGACGCGCGTAATACCACGGCAAAAATCCGTTTCAAAAATTACATCGTGTGCGATCGTACATAATATATACAAAATATATATTTCGATCTCTCTCTATATGCTTTTTCGCTTATACACGGCGTGTGTATTTGCTCTCGTACACACATACACACACTATATATAGGCTTTTCTCCATATAGTACGCTTTCATGCCGTATATAACGTAGAAAAAAGAGAGAGAGATTGTCGGAGAGTAAATCTTTTGAAATTGCAACCGTGTGTGTATAAAACGCGCCGTATATATACAGTGCGGGTGTACGTATATAATAAACGTGTCTCGATGTTGATACACGCACAATAGGCCACGGGAATACTAATCTAGTTCGCGCGAGACACATCTCTCTTCTCTCTGCGGCGAGCCCGAGCTCTGCGCGCGGCGCGAGCACAAAAGCTGAAAACATCTTTGAAAAAAAAAGGTCTATATTACGCGTATATACGTACACGGTACATATAATACCGAAGCTTTTCGCGGCGCTCGCCGCGCTGACAAAAGGGAGAAGAACCGTCGTCGTTGCCGCGCGCTATATATAATGTGCTCTCACTCTGAATTAACCATCTCCATAATATAGTAGTAGGAGGAGGACGAGGACTATTGTCGCGTCTCTAACTGGAATTTATATGAAAATATCGACTTTTATTTTATTTCGCGTGCAGTAGTATGTCCGTCAAACCAATTGACCACGCTTGCGTTGCGTATAATTTTATTTTTTTTTTCACGAATCGAGGAGAGAAACAAAATTGGTGCATCGCGTTCTCGTCCGTGTTATAGAAATGCAAACCACAAGATCGTTGTCGCGAGGTATTATCTCATATACGCGCGTCCGACGACGAAACGTCTCGGTATTACACGTAGCAACAGCAGCAGCAGCAGTGGGTTGATGTGCAACGTTGCATTATGCACCGCGCGATTGTGCCATATATTACAGGAAAATGTCCGGCATAATATAATATAATGTATACAGCATGCTATATAGATACACTCATATTTACACATTGTTATTATTATACATATATACCAGCCGTGGAGGTGAGACACCCAACAGTGCGAGAGAGACGGTAGACGCTTCTCTCGAGTATATTTCGAGAGAGATAATTGCATTCTTCGCGGCATTTTCCAGAGAGCTACTTTTATGCAGATTATTCATACATAAATATAGAAAAGGAGAGAGAAAGAGAGGGAATGACACCAGGGAAAAAAGCGCCCTAGTATACGAGCGCAGCAGCCAGAGTATGACGTCGACGACGACGATGCTGAAAAGAAAATTTCTCGCGTCGACGAGCCGAGTATTGCATCTCTCTCTCTATCTCTCTCTCCTGGTCGCGCGCGCGGCGAGATATTAAATAGGTGAAGCCGCGTCGTCGACTCGAATTTTTTGTCGGCTAGGCACACGAGTTTCCGGCGCAGTGGCTACGTAAGTAGCAGCCTAAGCACACACACACACACACATCTACATGTGTGAGCTCACCGAGCTATATGTGTGCCTCTCCCTCTCAGCCTAGCCTCTACTGAAAATTGGGCCGTGCTCGTAAGTGGAACCTATATACTCTCTAGAATCGCGTATACATATAGGTATGCGAGAGATGCACTCGCGGAAATTTTTTTTCCCTCCCGAAGAGGAGGCTCGACGCTAAAAGAGGCGATGCCCTTTAATTATCGTGCGTTATACTTTCTCGCGCGCCTGGTCACAAAGACATAACTTGATACTACGAGCGATTAATTTGATTTTTTTTTGTTGCGTCTCACATGTATATAATTCAACCCGAAGAGTTAAGAGATCTCGCGCAAATTCTTCCCGCTGAAATATGTAACATCCACTCGAATAAAATGAAAAGTGACGTTTTTTTCTATACCTCTGCCGCATGCTTCCGCACAATCGTCCTCTCTGTCTCTCTCTCTCCGTGTAGTTTGAAAAGTTCAGTTAGCTCGTCGCGCTGTAGGTAAAAAAAAGACTGCATAAGAGAAAGACAGAGACAGAGAGGGAAGAAAATTGGATCGAGTTTTAAATAGCCTGTGGCTTTTATTCGACTCGCCGGCGCATATATATAATGCCACGTTTTTGCTGACAATTGCCGACATTGCAAAGGCAAAGTTTCGAATTCGATATATCGGCTAACATTCATATTGTACGAACGCAGTTATATTTACATTCAGCGATAATAATTGTCACGCGCTGTAAATAGTTTTTGCATTATGCCTACCTCCGCAAGTGAATCGACGTTCGCTCGTGCACGAAAATATTCGTGAAAAGTTTTTTAATTGAATATATTATATTTTATATCGAGCGCAATTATATGCTCGTAATAATGACGGAGCAGATATACATAGAACCAACGAAAAATACGTTTTCGTGCTCGCACACAAGATGAATAGCTCCCAAGCGTTGCAATTCGAAGCTGCCCATTAAATTTATCTTTATATACGGTATATGTAATATATAAAGAAAAAGCTCGAGGGTGCGTAATTGCTCCGGTGGCTACGGTACTTTATTATCGATTCCGGGATCCCGAAAGTTCAAAGTTTACGGCAGCAGCAGAAGCAGCGGTGGTGGCGGCGGCATGTAGTATATATGCACGCTTACGTTATATACTAAATGCCAGGCTTTTAAAGGTATATAACGTACGCTGTGCTGCTCGCACGTGCTCGAGTGACCTAGAATGATCGATTTTTTTTTTTTTTTTTTTTTTTTTTAAGAAATCTTGAGAGCACGTATGTACGTGTGTACGAGCGTGCGAGCTTTTGCTTTATTGCATTTTTTTTCGCTCTCTCTCCCTCTTTTGTATTATTACGTGAGTTCCTACTGTTTCCCACTTTCGTCGCTGTTTCTCCATTAAGAGCTCGTTCACGAAGGCTCTCTGTCTCTCTCTTTTTATTCCGCTGTACACTTCGTCCTCGAAACATTTATTCGGGAAAAACTCGTCGTCGAATTCGTCGCGTTGGCTACTGGCATAAGTGACAATCATTGGTCCTCGTCTATCTCTCGGGCTTCGGAAAATGTCGGCAGTAACTCGTTACGATCCTCTCCTTGTCCTCCCCTCCCTGTCAAGTAAATCGATCGTAAATGTACTTCCTCAACGACTATTAGAAAGAGGAAGAAAGAGAGAGAGAGAGAGAGATGGAGGACGTTGTAAAGTCCTCGCGTACTGCATGCAACGTGTTTAACGTGTACCGTATAGCAATACGTACGTACATGAAATTTCACGCAAACGATTCAATTAAGCTCTCTCGCCGCGCTCGAGCCCTAATGGACTTTTCCGCGCGCCGCGCCGCTCTGTGCCCGTGTGCTGTTTAGCCGGATATATCCTCGTAGCTAATATGCACACGAGGTACATATATTCCGCCTGCACATACACTTGCATACGTGTAAAAAAAAGCCACGCGCTCGCGAAAGAGCTCACGTCGGATTGCATTTAATATGCGCGCGCGAAAGAGCCTCTCTTTTTTTCCCCCAATCTCGCTTTCGAATATGCGCGCGCGCGGATCTTGTGCGATGATTGCCCATCATCGCGCGCACCGGTGAAAGTTGCGCGGCCACGGCTATATGCTCGCGTGCACCTCCGCGCGATATGGTACTTATTTTCGCGCGACTAGTTTTATATGGAAAGTTACCTAAGCTCTCGTACGTATATACGCATGCACACATTATACACGCGTGTGCCGCCACGCGCGCAATCGCATTTGGGATTCGTCGTCGGCCTTTTTTGTTTTCTCCTTTTTTTTTCACTCGTAACAACTGCGAATTGAAAACTCGATTCGCAGCTTTTGTATGCGATGCCTCTTTCTATAAATACACTTATATGCGTGGCATAAATATTTCATTTCGGTATATACAGCACAGAGAGAAAGATCAATCGGTCGAGAAAAGTTCAATCGACGTTGCGGATCATTAAAGCTCTCTTTCTCTCGATTATCGCGCCGATATATTCAAATATAGAATATTTCACATGTCATAATATAATATAATGCTCCGTGCTGGTCTGCTCAATAGAGATATATTATACGAGTTAGAAAACGCAGCCCGCGCGCGGGGGCTTTCGTGTCAATCCCAAAGAAATAAAAATATCTTTACGCGTGTGCTATCAAACCGAGCGCGAGCTGCGATAAAACAATTCCTAGCTCTACTCCTCCCCCGCTCCCCCGTTCAGAAAAGCTCTTTCTCCAATATAATTCCTTCAATAGCTCGGCGATATAAAGCAAAAAGCTCTTAAGCCCTCTCCTCTATACTGCCTCCGCGCATAGAGAGAAGAGCATATTGACGCAGAGGATTCGAGAGAGAGAAATATCTAAAAAAAGAAGAAAAAAATAGATGCATCTGTATAAATTTGAAAGTTGCTTATTATTTTGCTATACGCGCTCTCGAGATTTATTATTCGTATATACAACGAATACGCGCGTATATAGAATGGATCGCTCAGCTATACAGTAATTTATTTTGAAAACTATCAGCAGCAGAAATCATGCATCTCTCTTTGTTTGTGTATACGCGGTAAAAACGAGCTCGCTCTTTTTTCAAAAAATG